TTCTTCTCTATTTTTCTAGATAACTCAGGTAACGAGTACATTTAAAATGGTTTCGGTTCAAAAACTCACCCACCACATAAAACCACCAACACATCAGCCACAACATCATCATCCATCACCCAAAAAACAAACAAAGTGTTTTCATTTGCTGCAGCTTTTAAACTTTATTTGTTTATGCAAAAAAAAAAATATTGTGTTTACCAAATTAATAAAATTTATAATTATGTGTTTCAATGAAAAGAAAAAAAATCGAATTTTATGTGTTTTGCTTTATTTTATTAATTTATTTGTAGTTTAGTTGCTTATTTATTGCATGCCCTTCATCTAACACCATTTTTATGCCCTAATCCCAGCAATCCGAGAGTTACAACTTGCTTTTTCATTTGTCACAGCTCCATCAAAACATTTGACAGAAGTCAAAACTAAAGGAACTTCAAACGGAGTGAAACGAAAGAAAAAAAGAAAAAACCCAAAAACTAATTCCAACTATGTTTCCGTTTGCAGATTTGAGCAGGAAGGAGAATACCGCACCGGATGTGGCCAGCACTGCGGAAATACAGCGCAGTTTCCAGCGCAGCATCCTCAATGGCAAGCAGCGGGATGAGCAGAAGATGCAGTTGCCAGGATCGCGCCGCAAGCGCCTGTCCGTCACCGAGGTATCCGACATGCTCTTCGAGTTCTACAAGACCAAGTCGGCCAAGGTGCCCAAACAGGAGCAGCCCCATCGTCAGGTCTCCCCGACATCCGGCGAGATCCTAGATCCCTCGACCATTTCGGCCATTGCCGTCTATGGCTCGGCCTCCGAGACGGCCTCAAAAAACTTGAATGCTGATGAAATGATGCGTGCTCAGAACACCACAGCAATGAATGTGGTGGGTGCTGCCGCTGGCGCCGCCGCCTCATTTCATCCAAGGCCCAAATTCACTCTGAAGACAGCGGCGTCGTCGTCATCGTCCACGGAACAGCTGGGCGTTGTGAAGGCCATACCCACTTCGGTGCTGGTGGCCAATAGTTCTGCCGCCCTGGCCCCAAAACCCCAGGCTGCGGTGATTGCCGAGGCCCTGATGAGGAATGGACTGCATAGCTTCCAACAGCAGTTGCGTGCCCAGGAGATCCTGCGTCAACAGACACCCCATCGTCGCATCAAGGAGGAAAACGATGTGGGTGGAGGAATGGCTGTGGGCGATATAACACCCACTAAAATACTGGAGAATCTCTTGCGCAAGCAGCAAGAGCGTGATCTCCGCCACTCGGAATGCGAAAATGAACCTGGCTATTCCACCGAGGACGAGGATGAGGGACGTTACCATGCCTTCGATGACATTCACCTGATGGAGCAGAATGGCGGCAAGTTTGCCAATAACTCTGGCCTGGGCATGTTCGGTGCCAATGCCCATGGCGGATCCGCCAGCTCCATTCTGGAGGCTCATCAGGCCTTTCGCAATTTGGAATTCACCTTGAGCGATTATGGCGGGAGCAGCAGCAATGGCAGCATCACCAGTCCCAATGGCATCGGTGTGGATGGTGAACCGGTGTACGAGTGTCGCCACTGCGGCAAGAAATATCGCTGGAAGTCCACATTGCGTCGCCACGAGAATGTCGAGTGCGGCGGCAAGGAGCCGTCGCATCAGTGTCCCTACTGCCCTTACAAATCCAAGCAGCGCGGCAATCTCGGCGTCCATGTGCGCAAACATCACACCGATCTGCCCCAGCTGCCCAGCAAGAGGCGCTCCAAGTACTCGATGAAATGCGATAATGGCATGAGCGGCTCCATGTCGGATGACTCCCAGGGCAAGCTGATCATCGACTTCAATGTGAACGGAGAGGGCTCCAAGCTTGATACCAAATAATTATGTGTGGAGGGGACTGAGGACCGATTGATGCTTCTTCCATTTTATAACCATACCATATTTTTTGTTTGACTGGTGTCTTGATTTTTCCATTTGCGAATATATAATTTCTTGTCATTCATGTGTCATCCCAAATATTTAATGTTTACTTGTAATAATTTATGTAAGCTAAGCAAATGAAAACCAATCTAATCAAGCAAATAATCAAAGTAGTCTTAAGGCCTTTCATCTAACGATGCGTTTATTACGTTAAAGCATTAGTTCTTAACTCTGAAATTGTATAAAAAAATATCAATCAATCACGAATTATCAATTTTATAGTTACGAATATGTGTGCAAAATCCAACAAGGAGCTCAAGAAATCACTCAATTATTTTTTTTAAGGCCACACTACTAATTAAGATATTAAAAGCATATCGCTGCTGTCCAGAACATAAAGTATTCTATTAGGGCCCGCCAAGTGCCTATTTCCGAAAAGTTTCCAGCATCTTGCCCGAAAAAAATCCTGTGCCATCCAACGATCTCTCAACGTGTCTTGATCAAGCTCAGAAGACAAAACCCTTGGCATTTACTCGATAACCTCAATCGATGCCATTTACACTGATACTCTCCATGACTGAACTAGTTTAGAAGAGATTATTTTGGATCTTACTAACGAACAATCCATTACCCATTTTGGAAAACAACTATTCCTCACCCTAAAGACATTCGATTCATATTTTTATGGACTTTGAGACTGAGTTTTTTGTATCTTAAAAATTATATACCTATGACCAAAAAAAAATTGGAACACCATACGATTCCCAAACCAAAAACCAAACACTTATTATGCCTAAATGTTTTAACTGATATTAATGTTTGTATTTTACCATTAAGCTTTTGTGCCGTCACATTGAATCGCCCGAGATTTTATGATTGTATACTAAATAAGATTATAATTCCTAACTGCATATCATCCTTGATCCTTTGCGATCATCGAAGACACGATTACGAACTGTGGGGCAGTGTGACTGCTAACATAAGACATGATTTTATAATGAACTTTTCATATACAATGTTTACATTTTAAATAAAACACAATTATATATTAATTTTTAAAAATACGTGTGTATAGTTTATTATTATTAGGCGCAAGAGACTTTTGTACTATGATTGAGTCGAACTGCGATAACAAATACTTTTGACATTTGATTCTTGATACCAGGAGATTGCAATATGACTATGGAGTGAATAATGCATTTACATATTAAAAAGCTAACAAAACCCGAAGAAATTTAAAGGAAATGCATCAGAAGCGGAATTGTGTGTGCTTCCTCTGTTGACCGTGATGTACAAGTGCAAGATTGTGAATATTGATTCGCTTGAAGTGATACATTCATTCAGTACGAGCAGCCAATGGCCACGGTGAGGAAATCCTCGAACCCAATGGTGATGGTTCCATTCTGCTGGGTGTCGCGCTGCCTGAAGGCCTCCGTGAACCTCTGCACCTGCACGCAGAGCACGATGAACTGGTCCACCGATACCTCCTTGTGGGTCTGGGGATCACTCTTCTTCACCAGAAAGTTGATGAACTCGGGCGTGAAGCGGAAACCCATCTGGGTGAAGGCTGTGGGGTATGAAATAGTTAGTATGATGGTCAAATTATATGCTTTCGTAGTTCAACTTCAATTAAATTATTACTCTTAATCTCAAGGAAAAAATCATTTAACATAACAAATTTTTATGTTTACCTGAATCGTTTTTTAGGCAATTATTTATGTTCTTTAATATATTGGGATATACCATTTTCTTAAGTATACGCGTTTTAATCATATACTTTTTGGCCTTGTTGCTTATCAGTAATAACTAGAATCTATTAAAAGGTTGACTCATTTAAGGCGACATTTCTCTCTTTTCTTTTTAAAAATGAGTCATGTGTTTTTTTGTGTAGGTAAAAAAGAGCACTTGCTCTTCATATAGTTAACAAAAGATTAATTTGGAAAACAAAATAAAAAACCTTTTGAATTAAATTAAATTATTGCATTTTAGCTCAACCATGAGAACTCAGAGTTATAAGAAATTAAAGACTGACCTACATATATGGTAAAAAAATATTCACACTTGAAGATTAGAGAATTTGTTTTCTTATTTTATGAGTTTAAGTTAAAAAAACGAACCTTGGGTTAGTTCATGCTCTTCGATATGTCCAGAGGCGTCCTGGTCGTAGGTCTTGAAGACTTGCTGTAAGTAATTAAGCCAAAAATAAATCAAAATATCAAGCATTTAGAACTATAAAGACCTTACCAGCCACTGGTTGATATAGTTGTAGAGCTTCTCGAACTCATAAACATCAATGGTTCCGCTGGCATCGTTGTCGAACATGCCTGATTGAGTAAAATGCGATAAAATTCGACATAAATCTTAGAGTAAACAATTGAGATAGTGCGCTCCAGGTGTTCTAAACAAATTTGCAAGGAGGATTGCTGTTCTAAATACAGTGGAACTTCCTTTAACAAAACCAAATACATAATTACTACATATTTCTAACGTATAAAGTCTATTGATTTTACTTTCAATAAACTTGGTTTGACCTCTAGAGATATGAGATATGCAAAGTTGGGGATGCGTTATGGAGGTTCTACTGTATGTGTGTACACCGCGGAAGTCAACTGACGTCACAGTTCCTGGAGGGGGAGCTATGTATGGGAATTCGTGGGTACCCCAGCTTACTTATCATCAGTTTGCATGCATTATCCGAGAAGTGATCGCCACGCCCATTCACCAGGGCCGCCTGCAACTCGGAGGCGTTGATCTTTCCAGATCTATCGCGATCTACCATTTGGAACCATTGCTGTGCCTGCGGAGAAACTTGGGCATTTTGCGGCGGAAAGGCTCCGGGTGGAGCGGCATAGCCACCTTGCTGACCATACGGATTGTAGCCTTGTCCCTATGAAAACTCAATAATTAATGCTTTTACTACACTTTCGAAAGCCTAAAAACACTCACATACGACATTTTGTCACGAGCCTATTATAATTCTAATTGGAACCTGATTGACACAAAACAAAATTAATGAAACTACAGATGACAAAACGGACGTTAGCCAACACTGTCTCTGGCAAGCGATAACAATCGATAACAAGCCAAAAATGTCGATAGCAATTGCAAGACTATTGCTTGGCCAAACTACCATCTCTATCGCCGGCATAAACAAGTGAATTTTTAAGCAAAAATGTCGAACTTTGTGAATTTGGACATATTTTCGAACTACCAAAAGTACATAGACAATGAGCAGGAAATCAGGGAGGTGGGTGGTTTATAACTTACCTGAAGATCACCTTTTAAACCACTGTTTTTTCAGAACATACGCATTGTGGTGCGCGAAATCGAGCATTTGGCCAAGGAAGCGCAGATTAAACTGCAGATTATACACAGTGATTTGAGTCAGAGTACGTATATGTTATGGATTTATTATATGGGTGTATAATAAATATGTTTCCTTAACTATAGTAAGTGCCTCCTGCGGCTTGGCCCGCAAACAGATCGAAGCCTGCGCCGAAAAGTACCAGAAATTGGCCAGCTTGGTGCCACCTGGTCAGTACTACAGGTGAGTCAGATGGTTGGAAATCCCTACTTTCCATAGTGGGTGTCTAATGCTACGCCTTCTGCAGGTACTCCGATCACTGGACCTACATCACGCAGCGCTTGATCTTTCTCATTGCTCTGGTTATCTATCTGGAGGCGGGTTTTTTGGTTACCCGCGAAACCGTAGCCGAAATGTTGGGATGTAAGTATGCTTGACAAAGGCTGGATTTCACAATACCAGGTTAAATTGATAAATCTTTGAGTTAAATTCCTGTTTCGTACAATTGTGGTTTCTCATTAGCATGTTAGGTATGCTACTGTCATCTGACTGTAATCTCTGAACTAGAGAAGATAAAGAAACTGTCTAAAAGAAGATTCGCCTGCTCTTTGTTCAGGTTTTATAAACCGAATTTCCAACTGATTCGTTTACAAAACAAACAATTAACTAGAAAATAAAGCTTTATTTCAAGTTTCTCTGGTAGATAGCAAACTAAAATCTTAACAGGTCATTGAGAAATCGGTCTTGGGGTCTTTTTTTGCTTCCAAATAAAGCCTAACATGACTTAAGAAACAAAAATGTTCCGAAACAGCAATTTAACCTAATCACAAAATTATAATAGCTTTGTGAAATCGGTCTTAATAGCCCCACACAAAACACTTACATATTATTAACTGGTTAACCCACAGTGAAGACCAGTCAGTCTGAGGGTTTCCACCTGGATGTGGAGGACTATCTACTTGGCATTCTGCAGTTGGCCTCGGAACTCTCCCGATTTGCCACCAATTCTGTGACCATGGGCGACTATGAACGTCCGCTCAATATCTCCCATTTCATTGGCGATCTGAACACAGGCTTCCGTCTGCTGAATCTGAAGAACGATGGTTTGAGGAAGCGATTCGATGCCTTAAAGTATGATGTCAAGAAAATCGAGGAGGTCGTCTACGATGTCAGCATACGTGGTCTGTCCAGCAAGGAGAAGGATCAGCAGGAGGAGCCGGCTACTCCTGCAACCGAATAGTGGTCTTCGTTCTTGGGCTACCTGAAAGATTACTTAAGACATTAGTTAACATGCAAGAAGCAAGGGTTCCATTTAAAGCAGCATTTTATATTGGTAAATATATATATCTCATTCATTGAACAGAAATTTATGTCGTTTTGTGATTTAATATTCGATGAATTTTTGGTTCACATACGGAAATCCATGGAGTATGGGGTTTTTTGTCGTCTATTCTTCAGAGACCCTCGTAGTTGATTATTAACCACCTAACTTTTATAATAAAAATAAAATTTAATTTTGAACACTTCCATTTTTTTAATGAATTTGGTAACTATCCAAATCATTTGAATGTCCTACGTTTGTAATTGATAAATTCCCTCATAGGATTGATATCATCACGATTTTAATAAATCATAATTATGATACCCTCAATATAATGTGTACAATTTTTGTTATTTTTAAAAATATTTTATTGTATTCAGTTCAATTACAAATATTCTCTTTGTAAGATTAAAGCATTTATTTTAACAAATGCAATTGTTTGTTTATTTTTAAATATAACACATTCGAAAATTTTTTCGAGAGGGGTATATAAACCCCAAAAAATTAAGACTTCTTGCTAATTTAAAGTCACTGTGACTTCAAATCTTGATGAAATCAGTTGTCTTCATAGCTAAGTGATAAGTGTATATGCACACATGTTTGTGAAAGTTTAACCCCCTTGAAAGTGGTTTGGCCACCACCCCTGGACCGCTGCTGTTGTTGTTGGCCCCGATCATATGGTGGATTTATTGCTGCTCCTCTTTGGCCCGCTGCTTCCGTTTTTGCCTTTGCTTCTCAGGCGCAGTTTTAGTCTCTCTTTTGCCACCGAAACGCTTACAACATTTTCATTGCGCGCGCGTCTTTGCTGTTTTGCTGCTCCCGTCGTTTGTCGTCCTTCATTTTGTGTTATTCTTGTTGTGTTTCCTGTGCGCTTTTCATTCTTTCGCCTGATTTTGCAATTTAACTTAAAGGTATCATTACATTTTCAAGAAAGTAAGTCTATGGGAATTTCCCTTGGAAAAATACCGTTACCCCAGAAACCAACCTACTCTCACTGCCCCGCCCCTTTGCCGCCCAAAGCAAAAAGCTAAAAATGAAAAACTCCAACCTGTTTGCAAATAATTAGGTCACAAATCTTAACAAAAACTTGTTGCCCAAAATGGACACTAAAAACAAATAGTAATGTATTTATTACAACACTCCCGACTAGTCTCTATTTGCCTTGTTGTTGTTTGTTTGTTTTAATTTTTTTGTTACGCAGACATAGTTGTTGTTTTGTATTTTTCAAAACACGCTTTAATCGAAGCGGTTCAAAGTCCGAAACAAGTTTTCAGAGAGGCTTAACGGGGCACGCTCTCACATAGTCGCTCTCTCTCTTGCACTCTCTTTTCTTCGTCTCGGTGGGGGAGAAGGTGGAGGAGAGCGACTAAAAATTGAGAGAGCTTTACTGGTAAACATCTGTAAAACAAACACAAAACAGACACCCACACAAAAGCAGGCAGGTGCAGCTGTATGCGCTCTCTGCGCCTCTTTGCCCCTCGCCTCCCCCTCCATCAGGCCCTCTCTTTCGAAAGGAAAATGCCAAAGAAAAGCTTAGCCAACTGAACCCAACAACAACAAATACATAGCCAGTATAATAAACCCAGAATCCAACTGTTAACTACCATGGAAAGTAGCGAAACCATTAGCTATTGACCTCCTCCATTGAGTGTTTTGTTTTCATACCCGGTAATTGTAGAGTTAAGGGGTATATTTACTCATTTTATAAAGATAATTTCCGTTGTATAAAGACTTTCCGGGAATTCAAGAAATTAACTCTTTTAACTTGGTATAAAATTTAATTTTACCGTTCTAACCCATGGCATATTTATTTTTCTTTAAGATTTTATTTATATTTTTAAAATGAATTTAAAGCTTATATTTTTATAAAATTTGAAATTCTTTAAAGTTCTTTCTTTAAATAAAATTAGTCGTTGATTTACTTAAGTCTTTGGCAGTGGAATTTGGATTGTATCATATACTAGTTCTGTAAAAATCTTTATTTTAATCTATTTAAAATCGAGCATGATAATAATTCGTATTAATTTAAATTCTTAGATGGAGTTAAAACAACAGAACTGATAAGTATCAAGCATTTAAACACGTTTCCCCACTTTAATTATGTAAAACTGTTAGTAATCTTCCTTTTAAGTTGAGTGATTATAAAATACTGTGTAAAGTATGTTATGCACACCCTTAGTAACCCATCATCCTCAACTAAAAGTGTGTTACGTTCTTGATTAGGTTCATACTTTAGGATGGTTACTTAAGTCCCTTGACAAAACGAGTATCTTTTATTATAAAAAAACTCGAGCCTTTGAAATACCGGGTAACTCCCTGTCGTATCTTTCCAGTAAGATACCTCTCTTGATTTTATTCATTTTCGTTTCGGTGGATGCGACGCGGCAGCTGTGAATGATTTGCGAGGGGGTCCCAAGCACAACTGGTTCCCAGCGCCTTTGTACCGCACCTCGAAACCCCCTCCGCGATCTCGAGACCCTCGAGGCCCACCTCGATCGTCCCGCTCTCGTTAGACATGCGTCGCTGCCTTGGTTGTTTTGTTGGCGGCGGTAGCCGTCGCACATTTCAAGTTTGCTGCGGTTCAAAGTCCAAATTCAAGATTCAGATACCACCACCACCATCGGAATCACTGGTACACCATCTCTCTTGCTTTACGGTGGGGATTTTAATTTTAAATCTCCGTTCTGCGCAGAATTTCTTTGGTTTTACCAAGATCTGATCAGAGTCGTGCGATAAGTTAGTGTTTTTTATGCCAGCTAGACACTTTCAACCCGTCATCGATTGTACTAGGTTATTCGGACAGCTCTCACCTCTTATCGGAACCGCGTGCGGTGGCAAACCTTATCAACACCCCGAAATGGCGTAGTTCTCACAGGCCCCCCGCCACTGTGATTATTGGACTTTCAACTATAAATAGTGGGCGATTGGTTGTTTTTATCGGCGAGCTCAATTGTTGCTTATCTGACCCTGTTCATTGGTCAGTTCTCGGTTATAAAAACAAATCATATAATACTTGTTTTTCAGCTAGTTTATCAAGTAAACAAGCTACATCGCCATGTAACAGCGATAAGAATGTGTGTGGAGAGCCGATCTTCAGATTTGAAGTTGTTTAGCCAAACCAAATGCAGAAACAGCGAGATCTGCGAAAAGGTCAAAGTCCCATTGTCGAATTTAAAGCCTAATCTTTATGATATTACGAAATCGTGCAGACTGCAATCTCGAATATCAGTTAATTATGCTATTTTTATAGCTTAGCAAAAGATACATTTATGGGATAAGCACCAGGGGAATTTTATTTGAGACGGTGAAATTGAAAAGACAAAAAAAAACTTTAACTCTTTTTATTTATCATGCCCTTTAGACTTTTAAAATATCTTATCTAAAAATAAAATAAAAAAAGTTTGTTTATAACATAATTGCTTCTTTATATGACTTGGTTACCCTGTTATAACTGTTAATCTTCGCCTAACCCAAAAAAACTAGATAAAATGTGATGTTTTAATATATGTACAACTGTAAATGTTTACTAAAAGTTGAAATCTTTTAAGAAGGAAACAGGTAATATAAAAATGATTTATGAAAAAATGGGTAGTTTAGGAATTTAGACTTAAGAAAATAAGAATATAGCATTACCAAATCGGAAATGGTGTTCACTAAGTGTTTTGAATTTACCAATATAAATATGAGTGACTACAAATATCGAGTAGATCATTTTTGAAGTTCCCTAAGCGCACTGATAGAGCACCTCGGTTCCCAGAAATTTGTCTAGCCACGTTGAAAACAAGTTTTCAAGAGACATTGACAAGACTAACTGCGTATACCCCTTGAAACGAAGAGTACACCCATCATATATGTAGGTGTTTATGAGGCCTAATCAGATATCCATTTCACCATTTCGGTATGCGATAAGAGGCGCCCTATCGATCTGAAGAGAAATGGCTCCCTGAATATCACCGGTCAACACACTCCACCAGGCACCCTTTCCACTTTTTCCACTCTCTCGGAGCAACGAGCCCCTCGACTTGTGACGCATCCAAAACCACATCCATAGCCACATCCACATAGCCAGAAAAGCACATCGGCTATATTACATCTGTATCTCTGCGCTCCGCTCCGAGTGCTTTTTAAGACCCTAGCGAACCCGTTGTGCTCACAGTCGATTCAGTCAACGCTCGGCGTCTAAACGATCAAGTCGCTTTATAAGAACCGGGGGATCCGAAATATCCCCAGTGGCATTAACTCGTGTGTGCATCTTGCCTAGGATTTCGCAATTGTCATTTCCCCCTCCCAAAAGAAAAGTTTATAAATACCACATTCACACATCGAAGTGCAATTAATACAACGCGATATATACAGGAAACAGTTTATACCGAATTATTTTAATTCGCCGAGAAGGTTTGTTTGTGCTTTTCTTATTTATTTCTTAGCCCCAGCTGAAGGTCGGAAAAGCGTAAACAACGCGCAAAATAAAAGAAAGGGGTTTTCTGCAAAGGTTGCATTTTTGCGGCTTACGTAGACCCCCTTATTTCTTGTTTTTCACGTTCTGATCTTTACCCCCAGGCGACTTTATCTCGTTCTCACTTGTGTGACCCAAATTCCGGCACATGTTTTGATAGTTGAAAAATCTATTCCATAAACCTTATCAGCTTTGGGGGGGTGTTGGGGATTTTTTAGTGGTTACATAAAACCCGGCATTGGACCCGCCTCCCTCGCAAGTTAACAAACAAATATGTAGATATGTATAAGCACAAGGTCGTGCCCACTCGATCTAGAAAATAACAACAATTTAAATTTTATGCAATATAATTAACGTTGTATACCGCGTATAGGAAGAGAGCAGACTTTGAAAAAAACAATTTGTGGACTTTGTACCCTCGTGTGCCCAGCAAAAAAATAAAACGATCTTATAATAAAAAAAAGACCACAAATCGCGCATATTTTTATTATTTCTGTTTTATTTTTCCTATGCTGAGTTTGCTGATAGGCAAACAAATAAAAGCCGGTAGTGATCGTTGCTCAAATTATTAAGCATACGCCGCATAGTC